ACTCATGTTTTCATTATTTTATAATATTGAAATATTTACATATTTTCAAATATTTCATTTATTTTACATCAGTGGGTGTTTAAACTCAACCCTCTCTGAGCATCACCACAACTCACTGACACAAAAGCTGTTGTCCAAAGACATGCCAATAGTATCCAAATCCCCCACTCTGCTTCTCAGTTCTTTCTTTCTCTCCTCTTCTCCCACTCACTTGCTTCTTTACCCCACCATCCCCCTCTTCAATGGAGGCAAAAACTTGCTACTGTCTTTGTTAAGGCAACAGATTAGCCCCTAACAAAGGGTTTAGGGAGGGTTAGCACTGCAGGCTAGTCACTCGTGTGCTGGGAGCTGGTATTGTTCTAGCCTCAGTCTCATATGCGCATGTGGAGAAAGAATGGAGACTTGACACCTTTCAGCAGTTATTATAAACTATTATCTACACACACTCACACTCTCTAAAGAAGAATTGAGAAAGAGCAAACGGCTTCATTAGGAAATTGAGGTGCTGTACATGAATAATAATTGATTGTACACATGCAAATTGACTGATAGTGAAAGACCAAGTATGTTCAGACCCAGAGTTAAAGTAAACACAAGCTATGGATGAAGACAAAAGATCTGCTGAAATAAACCCTCAGTTATTTGAAGAGTGTTTGAGAATAGTCTGATCTTTAGACCAACTCCCGTTTCTGCTCTCAATCCCTATTACCCTCACCTCACCTTTAACCCCTTTGACCCCAATAACCTCAAACAGTCTCCCCTTATAGAGACCACTATAAGATGAAAGATTTTATGTGAGAACTCTGAATGAGTTTGAAGTTTATATGAAGTTTATCTCGCCGTTTATATACTGTTCAAAAAGACACTGAAGTTTGGCAGCAACTTTTCAAAAGAAAGGGTTAAAAAAACAGTAATTTTTTAAGCACAAATGGCATTGTGTTCTGAGAATGGGCCATACAAAAAGTACAATTCACATGATAAGTGAACTACAGCGATTAGAGAAGCCTGTTTAAAATGTAACTGTCATTGTAATTGTCATTTAAATATCATGACTCCAGACACATTCAGTGTGCTCATACTGATTTTTCACAGTGAAGTGAGAAAGTGACATTTTGTGACTATTTTGCTATGTTTGGCTAAATATAGTCGTTTTTATTGGACAATTAAGTATGATTGTATTGTATGTAAGTTCATTTGAACTAAACTGATTCGTCTGAACTGATCATATTTCCATATGAGCAAAATTATATCTCGTCTATTTATTTTTTTGTAATTGCATTTTCTTTCCAGCAGATGGCGCCACAACCTTAAATTCACGCAGGCACAGCCCCGGAATCCAGTTTTAGTTGAAAGTGGAGGAGTTTAAAGGGGTCAAATGATGCGATTTCATTTTTTCCTTTCTCTTTAGAGTGTTACAAGCTCTTGGTGCATAAAGAAGATCTGTAAAGTTGCAAAGACTAAAGTCTCAAATCCAAAGAGATATTCTTTATAAAAGTTAAGAGTCAACCACACCTACCTAAAACGGCTCGTTCGAACACGCCCCCACATATCTACCTCACTATGTGGGAAGATTTGCATAACACCGCCCAAATGTTCACGCAAAGAAAGAAGGCGTAACTTTTATTCTCACTGTAGTATTGTTGCCGCTGCCGCCATGTCCTGAAGACGCTGTGTGCTTCGTTGTGAAAGCGAAGCTACTTTGTTTGGTCTTCCAAAAGAGGACGATATCCGCTTCGTCATGCCTAGAGCTGATCCGTGCTGGTCGCTGAGGAAATACATCAACTTAGTGCTGTGGATCGCCGGATCGGCCCTCACCGTTTTCACCGCTCCTTCGCCGGGACCGCCGTTCTCGACCCCGCCGCCTCAGCTCACTCTTGCCCGGCTTCAGCTCAGGCTAAGCCGGGGCTTTCGCTCATGCTAGGCCGCTGTGTTTTTCGTTGTGAAAGCGAAACTACTTTGTTTGGTCTTCCAAAAGAGGACGATATCATCGTCGAAAGAGGCGTTTCAAAAGGCGGGGCATAGAGGAGAAACAATAATGTACAGTATGTGGAAAATAATGTTTTTTTTTAACTTTAAACCGCATAAACACATTTCATTACACCAAATACACAAAATAATGTTCTTTTTAGCAGCATCATATGACCCCTTTAACAGCAAGCCAAAACGAGTAAGCTTTCAACTGAACTGTATAGCGTACATGCATTTTAGACGCTTATATTATGCTCTTACCCCGTCCATGCAATGAATGCACGTTATTGATTGAGCGTTTTTTTTTTAACATTACAATTCCTCAGGTAATTTCAGTGGTACCGTAGGCAATAGCAAACTCCCCGTGATAGCGCGCAAATATTTCTGCCCGTTTTCGCTCGTTGTCAGCCTCTGCTTTTCTGCAACAGACTGAAGCCGCGTGAATTCAGCGCGTCTTGCATGCAGCAAATAAAAGAAAAATGCTGCAATTTTCTGGTGTTATTTTATTATTGTTGGGGCAGTCTCCAGCTATAGCTATCTTAAACTTCTCAAAATACAGTCCGCTTCAGATTGGTTTTAATCACTGCATAAAAAAATGAACGCAAACTTTATCTAATTCTGTTTGGGTGGACACTGGACAAAGATAGTCATTTGGGTGGGCTCAGCCCACCCCTGCCCATGTCTGGAGCCAACCCTGTACTTCTCTGAAACAATATGATAATAATAGATACAGAATCTATCTGTAGCAAATTATGTCAATAGCTCTGCAGACGAGAAATCAGTTTCAGAAATGAAATAAACATTTACGGGGCACACACAGAGGAAATAGAGCAATTTTCTTAACACATATTTCAAGCCATTTTCTTGCCTTATCAAGTACACAACGTGTGTGCGTGAATGAACATATATGCACAGCACATGCTTATGAGAACAGGTGTGAGTTACAGAAGATGTCCACAGTATCAGGTTCACATACAGCATACTCATTTCAGAATGTGTATGTGTGTGTGTGTGCAATGTTACAGACCACTTTACATTATACATGACCTCTACACATTTAACAGTTATAACTGAAGTTTTAAATATTGGATGAAAATAAGATTAATTCAGTCCACTCACATGCACCCTTAGATTTGCTGTGATTTAAGAGCCTAAGTTTGCTTCAGTGAATCTATGAACAGTTAACTATACACTGTAAAAGTAAATAAATAATCAGTGAAATTTACAGTAAGATAATGGCAGCTGTGGTTTCCAAAACCTCACAGTAAAAATATGGTAGTGACATTTTAGGTTTTAAGAATTGAACTTAAATTTAATGTTAAAGTGACAACCTACTGAAGCACTAAAAAGATTTGTACCCTTATAATACACTGATAAATCCCCCAAAAATAAATAAATAAATAAATAAATAACACAGTTAGTAATGAGCAGGGGTGTAAAAAGTATTCCAAGAATTAAGTGAAAGTACAGATACTCAGTGAAAAATTTACTCAATTAAAAGTGCAAGTATCTGACCAAAAACATACTTAAGTAAAAGTAAAAAGTACAAGTTTAAATTGTACTTGAGTATTACAAAATTAGAAGTAACCTAGCAAAAAAAAAAAAAGAGAGAGAGAGAGAGAAGATCGTTTCATCATATCGAATCATTTTCTTTCCATCCCATTCACACCCTTGTGCAATCATGTATGACTTTCTTCAGATAAACGCAGATTTTTAGAAAAAAAAAATCCATCTCTCTGAATATAATGCAAATGTACAGGATGTCCAAAGATGATGCTTCAAAAACTACACAAAGTGAACATGACTATAATCTGTATGACACCTGTTATGAATCAATGTCTTCTGAAGTGAAATGATAGGCGTGTGTGAGAAAAAATACAAATAGGCTACTAATATTTTAAACTTTACCATCGCGTTCACTTTGTGGTTTTTGAAGCGGTCCCATACATTTGCATTATATGGACTAAAAATCTGCAACTGTGATCTTTAGTCACTAGAACAGGCCTGCCCAGTGGTGTTTTATGCAACGTAATCTTTTTATACTCAAGCTCCATACAGTTGGTTTTGTACAGTTTCCAGTCTCCTGTCATTCCACAGAGGCTCAGCTGGATCGAAATCAGGGCCTTGACTCGACCAATTCAGGATATTAACTTTTTTTTAATTTTAGTATTATTTATAAATAAATAAATTAATTGAATCTTCTTCCCAGTCCCAAGCATTATTAAACTTTGCTCCATCTATTCTCCTTACTCTCCATTCTCTATTCTCCTTCATGGCTGTTCAGTTCCTATATAAAATAATAAAACATAAAGAAATATATAGAAATACTAAAATAAAAGATGCTATTGATATAATGTGATATGTCAAATATAGCAATTAGCATTGCACAAAAGTTATGTTTTGATCTCGTATGATTATTTCCTGAAGTTATTGAATCTCGTGCTTTGGGTTTTGTTTGAATGTCTCTGTAATAATGTTCAGTAGTCACACAAAAAAAAGGACTTCGTGATCTAAATGTCTTTGGAAATGCAGTAAGTGGGACATAGACATGCAAACATGTGGACTATAATGAAGAGATAAGAAAGTCAACAACTTTTAGAGGTAGAATGTGAATGTAGAAGGTGAATGTTTATGCATTTATTATTTTCTGCTTTTAATTTTATTCATTTAATGAACAGACCTGATGAATAGAACCAGGTCCCCTTCTTACATTTTTGATAATCTGTTACACTCAGATGTGTCACAATTTCACTGCAACTTTATTTCACACTTCTACTAACGTATTACAGTAATAATCACAGCAACATGGGTAGCTACCTTGCTCAAGAGCGCTTCTGAGCTCATTCTGTTACTAGTCCTGGGCTTTGGCCCGGGGTCAAATCATGATCTTATGATATGAGGCACCTGATACTTTGGAGTATCCCCCACTTGTTAATCTACCTTATTAAGAGCAATTTATTTATAAGGGCAATATATATATATAAATGAGATGTTGTTATATATATATTTTAGTGAAAAATGTTCATCTCGGCGTTCGCCTGCATCTTTCGATGCGTGACGGCGAATAAATAAAAGCGCGTGGGCGTGGGCGTGGACACTTGACTTCAGCATTCAAACGAGGCAGAAGTGGAGAACAGCATCTCGTTTTGCAAGAATAAAGCAGCTCGCTCTGCTCCTGAAATAAAAATACCTCTCATTAGTGTTATGGCAAGGGGAGAGGGAGCCGAACAGTTCTCATCCGGTTTGTTACCTACAGCCAAAACTGTCAATCAAGATGGAATTAAAATGCCTAAGGTAGGTTACCTGGATATGAATTAAATCACTGATGTTAGATTTTTTTTGCACTATGTATTTTTGGCTCCAAGGTACTTTATAGAGCAGACGGTGGGGTTAACTGATAAGGCGGGAGTTTAGATTGATGTCGAATATAATGATTAAAACAGCACGTGCCATACGCACGCGACCGTTAAAGGGATACTCCACCCCAAAATGAAAATTGTGTCATTAATCACTTACCCCCATGTCGTTCCAAACCCGTAAAAGCTTCGTTCGTCTTCGGAACACAATTTAAGATATTTTGGATGAAAACCGGGAGGCTTGTGTCTGTCACATTGACTGCCAAGTAAATTACACTGTCAAGGCCCAGAAAAGTATGAAAATCATCGTCAGAATAGTCCATCTGCCATCATTCGGTAAATCTGAATTTTATAAAGCGACGAGAATACTTTTCGTACACGAAGAAAACAAAAATAACGACTTTATTCAACAATTCGTCTCCTCTGTGTCTCTCCGCATCACCGTAGCACCATTTTGGAGAATATCCGATGAATGCAAGCAGCATACGCTCTTCTGTGTCAGCCGCAAGCAAGATGTATTAAGGCATAGGTACAATTCTGACTTTTTTTTTCTCGCAATTGCGAATTTATATCTCGCAATTCTGACTTTTTTTTCTCACAATTCTGACTTTTTTTCTCAGAATTGTGTGATATAAAGTCATAATTGTGAGATATAAACTCGCAATTCTGGGAAATAAAGTCAGAATTGCGCGATATAAACTCGTAATCGCGAGACATTAAGTCGAAATTCTGAGAAAAAGTCAGAACTGAGATATAAACTTACAATTCTGACTTTTTTTCTCAGAATTGTGAGTCTATAAAGTCAGAATTGTGAGATATAAACTCGCAGTTCTGAGAAAAAAAGTCAGAATTGTAAGTTTATATCTCAGTTCTGACTTTTTCTCAGAATTTCGACTTAATGTCTCGCGATTACGAGTTTATATCGCGCAATTCTGACTTTATTTCCCAGAATTGCGAGTTTATATCTCACAATTATGACTTTATATCACACAATTCTGAGAAAAAAAGTCAGAATTGCGAGATAAAAAGTCGCAATTACCTTTTTTATTTTTTATTCAGTGGCGGAAACGGGCTTTCATACTCTGCTGACCATGTGCAGGTTCTCAGTGTAAAGAGACTGGTGATTTTTGAGAGGCGGTATTAACATCACTACTGCAATTTTTTATTTATATGTTTGAAGTTTAAAATCTACGGAAGAGGATTAGGGCCAAGCAATAAAAAAAAAAACAGTCTCGAGATTAAAGATATTATAATGCGAGATTAAACTCGTTAAATTTCAAGAAAAATTTCTAAATAAAATGTTGTGAATAAAATCATTACATTTTCGAGAATAAAGTCTTTGATTTTTGAGAAAAACTTGTGAAATTTCGAGAAAGTTGAAATAAAATGCTAAAAATAAACACATTCGTGTCATGTTTATTTGAACGTTTCAGTCAGTGTCTGCAGTGGCATTGGTCCTAGGGAGTAGAGCTCCTGAAGGTAGTTTCTGATGTGATCAACTAGAGTTTGAGTCTATTACTTTAGGATCGTTGATGGTTGTGTACACCTCCATCCATAGAACGAAACGACTGTAACCATCTGCCATTAATGGCAATGCCGTATGGTTTTAGTTTAGGGCAGCGCTATTTGCGCTAAGTGAATAGCAATAGATGCTGTTTACGCTATAAGTGCAAATAGCCATAGATACTATTTACACTACATGAAAATTGTGATATATTCTATTTACACTAAGTGAAAGCAGCATTTTTAACGTATTTAAGTGAAAATAGCGATTCAATTTACGCTATGTAAAAGTATCAGATCTTTGCAATAAGTGTAAATAGTAATTAGATGCTATTTATACTTATAAATAGTGACAGATACTATTTGCACCTCAGTATTGTTGTTCATTAACAGGATGCAATAATAACAGTGTAAATGTTAAATATTAAATAGACGCTGCCTTATTGGGACAACAAAGCCCTCCTATATCCTACCTATCCCTAAATCTACCCAATTAATTTATCATTATTAAACACCCATTAGGCAGTTGATTTCCACTTTTCCGATGTGATATGTGATGAAAAAAGGAAGAAGAGCGAGTTCGGCAAAAGGCAAATTCGAACTCTGGTCGTTTGCATCGTGTATACATTCATGAGCATTACTCTCTACGACCTACGCCACTGCAGATGTTGAATAACACTCTCCAATGGGATCAAATGAATATGACACGAGTGTGTTTATTCTCAGCATTTTATTTTAACAAAATTATTTTAACACAAAATTTAACAAGTTTTTTTTTCTCGAAACATAACGAGTTTATTCTCAATATTTCATCTTGAATTTTTTACTCGAAATGTACCACGTTTTTTCGCAAAACACAACAACTTTATTCTCGAAATTGAATGAGTTTATTCTTAACATTTTATTTAGACTTTTTTTTCTCGAAAAACTCTGAGTTTTTAATCTCAAGATGGTTTTATTTGATTTTTTATTACTGTTTGGCCCTAATCCTCTTTTGTAAAAATCTGATGACTCTGTGATTGGTCAAAGTTGACTGACAAAGCATATACCAAATACATTTGTGGAGAACTAATCTCAGTCAGACAACTGATGCTACAGTAATTTCGGTGTTCTGTACTTTCTAGTAATATACAGTAGCCAATTAGTGCACATAGCTACCTGTAGTTTAAGCATTAGTGGTTGACATTACTGTGCAGGCTGAGGCATTTAAGGTCAAGCAATTGCAGAGATTTTGGTCTGAAATGGTGAAGAGAGGGGGACCAATGAGAATAGTAAACTACAATAATTCTCACAATGTGAGATCACGGTCTGTTGCAGCATTTTCCAGTCAGAGGAAGGAATTCCATAAGCATCTAACTAGACCACCTAAATGAACGACAATTGTGCAAGCAGCCAAGCAGTGACATTAGAATGAAGGATACCCTTAAAATGCAGGTAGAGTTAAAAGTCCAGTATATCTGTAATGTCCCTTTTTAAGAGCTTCAAATGGAAAGTCACAAAAACAGAATCCAAGCTAAATCAACTCCTCCAGTTAGGATTTTATCGTGTTCTCTTGCAGTGAAAAGTTCACCGGTCTCTCATGGATCTTGTTTTACTTGCTACAATCACTGTCATTGTCTATCCTTTTATAATCTCGTTTTTTGTCCTCCTTTCAGCTCTCACCACAGCAGGAGAGAAAAAGAGCTCTGACTGTGTGGAGTAAGGTGTGTTTTGCAATCGGAGGGGCTCCGTATCAGATCACAGGCAGCGCCCTGGGCTTCTTTCTACAAATCTTCTTGCTTGATGTGGCACTGGTGAGCATACATATGGAAACACTATAACTGAATGGCAGAGGATCTATACCGTGAGACCTCAACACCTGATTATAAAAATAAACTGGCTCAGTGATAATTTTTGTTACTGTATCATATCACTCTACATCACTAGATAGAATGGTGAGAAAATTATCTCTCCTTGCTATAATCAAACAAAGGAAGAGAACAATGGCCCAGAGCCTCAGAAACAATTGTGGGAGAGAAAGAAAAAAGAGCATGTGAGAGGGCAGAAAGCAGATATATAACTGCTCTGTCTTGCTGTGTACTGCATCCTTGTGACTTTAACAGTCCTCAACTCCAGTTATCTTGGGGGAAGTCGTGGCCTAATGGTTAGAGAGTCGGACTCGTAACCCAAAGGGGAGTGAATGTACAGCGCTCTCTCCCACCTTCAATACCACGACTGAGGTGCCCTTGAGCAAGGCACCGAACCCCCAACTGCTCCCCGGGCGCCGCAGCAAAAAATGGCTGCCCACTGCTCCGGGTGTGTGTTCACAGTGTGTGTGTGTTCACTGCTGTGTGTGTGCACTTTGGATGGGATAAATGCAGAACACTAATTCCGAGTATGGGTCACCATACTTGGCCACATGTCACGTCACTTTCACTTTCACTTTCTTGATCAAAACTCCTGCTGCCTCATTATTGCAATTGTTTCCATAGCGATAACCAATCAGATCTTCTCATCCGAGTCTGCCGAGCAAATGAAGGATTGGCACCAGATGAAGTGTGATGTGGTTAAAGGACTATCAAGTTTAGTCAAGTCAAGTAGATTTAATTTTTGTGTAGCACTTTTCACAATACACATTGTATATACCAGGGCTGCCCAAACTCGGTCCTGGAGGGCGAGTTTAGCTCCAACCCCAATTAAACACACCTGAACCAGCTAATCAAGCTCTTATAGGCATACTAGAAACTTCCCAGCATGTGTGTTGAGGCAAGTTGGAGCTAAACTCTGCAGGACACCGGCCCTCCAGGACCGAGTTTGTGCACCCTTGGTATACAGTGGGTACGGAAAGTATTCAGAATTTAAGGGGGTCTGAATACTTTCCGTACCCACTGTATACACAATACACAAAGCAGCTTTAAATAAAATAATGTTGTTAATGTTCTTCAAAATCATGATTTTTCTAGTCATTGTACTGGAATCTATATTTGATACATTTAGAGAGCAATGCTGTGTGTAAATCCTACAGTAACTAATGACCGAATCTGTCTTTCTAGTTAGATCCCCTCAATGCTTCTGTGATTCTGTTTGTGGGTCGGGCCTGGGATGCTGTGACTGATCCTACAGTTGGGTTTTTAGTAAGCAGAACCCCATGGACACGGCACGGACGCATGATGCCCTGGTATGTGATTGTCAGAAATGCACACCATGAAATGATATTGTAATGTGTGCTGGATGTGCAATATGCATGATACTGTTTTCTAAATTCATGAGGAAATTAAAAGGAAATTAAAACTGTATCTACTAAGCTGGAACTCTGGGATTGGGTGGGTATTCACAGAAAGATGTATTTGAGACCGAGAAATGAGCAGTAGCCATGGTGATCCGAGCCGAGTCCATCTGCTCTGGATTGTGTACAGGAGGTTACTAGAGTGTGCAAGAGCACCACGTGTTGTAATTTCTTTGGGATTTTGCTGACTGTTTGTGCATGCACTAAGATGTGGCATGAAAACTAAAAAGAAAAATCTTCAATCCCCATCAGTAAGCCAATAGAAAAGGGCACACACACACCCTCACACTCCATGTAGGAACTTACTGGTTCTTTTTTTTATTAGCGTTCATTATGAAACACTATCCACTTATAACAGTAATGAGAAAATAATACTTTTTTTAATGGTATGAAATAGAAACTTGTTAGTAAAATGAATTGATTGAAGATTATGTTGTCACACCAATATTTAGTTTGTGCAGTATGAATGCAGTCATTCAAAACGAGATCAGATCGAGGAGTTGAAGTGAAATACAATTCAAATCTATTGTTATATTTGTAAGGTGTGCGTGTGTGTATTAAAGGGTCATGAAACCCCCTGTTTCAGAACTGGTTAGTTCTCACCACAGTTTTAAAAAACGCAAAAAAAAGTGGGCGTGGTGCGCAGCAGCGTGGAGGGGGAAGAGGGGAGACAGACAACACGCACAGCTTCGCGTTCAGACAGTTTCATTTCGCTCCCATCGAGTTAAAAACACAAATAAATGCACAGCCATTTGCACTCTCAATCGAAAACCTATATATGAACGCGCTTTTGCACCTCTGATAATTTTTAAGGCTTATTCTGTGGCGTTTATATAAGCCTTTTGACTGATTGTGTCACGGAGCTGTAAAAACGGTTACACTCACTGAATGAATCGCATTTGTGCCGAACTCGTATTACAAAGCAAAAACAAACACTCTCCTCCGATCCATGAACTTTTCTCTCAGTTAAAGGTGGGGTAAGTGATTTCTGGTAGCCAATGTTGACATTTCAAATCACCAAAACAAACACGCCCCTACCCCAAAAGGGATCTTTCTGTCATCGCTCGGCTAATGTCCATCCTGTGCACTGAGCGCTCTCTCCTCTGCATCATGAGTAGACACGCCCCTTACTGCTGATTGGCTACAAGTTTGTTTTGGTACTTGGCCCGACTCTGTTTTCTAAAGCGTTTTTGCAGGGCCGTTTCTAGCCATTTTGACGCCTTAGGCCAAATCCCTATTAGCAGCCCCACCCCCATCCCACTCCCACTCCCAAACAAGAAAATATAAGATTACATACAAAATAACATAAAACTGATTATGTAAACACTCAAATCTTAAATAACAACCTTGACACATTTCCAAATTATATTTACATATATGTTATTATAATTTCTTTTCAGACATTTTTTCAGTTTCTTGTCACATTTAAATTGGTTGTCATAGTAACAACACTAATTTGTGGAGATTCAGCACATTGTGTTTTACACAAATCTGAACGCATTATTTGGTAATGGATAGGATAAACATTTTGCACAATTTATTATCTGTAATACCATTATAGCCACTGGATGCCTGTATAGCTCTATGTAACAATCCCTAGTTTCTAAGAAACTGTCATCACACATAAATTAATTTTATTCCATTTGGATTGGGATACATGTTTAGATATTATCAGTGGCTACTTTTTTGTCTTTATCTGTTTTTTGTTCAGTTGTTTTGTCAGTTATTGCATTATTTCAGTCAAATATAAAACCCTTTGTTACCTCAAACTACATATAAAAGCCTGATTAGTGGCATAAAAGTAATCCGAATGCTGCTACTTGTTCCTTTGTTACTCACTGATGCGTGAACTTCCCCTTTAAATAACACTACACTCTGCCCTCTATGTGTGACGCTGCTCCCATTAAGCACTGTTGGAAGTGAATTAATTGATTCAGCATTTCGACACTTCCGTAAGGATGCATTTAACTCGACAAAGCGGTTTAATAAAGGATGTATTGATCTTAGCGAATTTTACTACACCAATATTTTTTTAATTGGCTGTTAAAGTTTGTTGGGAATATTACACAACACGCTGATCCTTTAACAATGCATTGGCACAAAAACACACACATTTTGGACCGATTTCACAACATGATTTCTCGACTGCCACAAATACTGCCTAAACAAAATACTGATTTTGTGCACTTTTTATTGTACTAATATTTTAAATTGACCTTTGAACTTGGCTTTATTGCATGGCAAAAAAAAGCCTTACCTTGACAAAGCACTGACAGAACCCATCGATCTAATGATGTTGTTAAGCACTCCAAATGCAAACTTTGCATGCAACAATCAGGCAGCAATTGACAGCACTCTGATCCAGTGGCATACAGGCATCGTCAGAATGACAGTACTGTAGCCCAATGATGTTGGGGGATCCAATGGGGGCGGCAATCATATTTCAGGGTGGCCGTGCCACTCATCACAACCCTGCTAAAATGTAGCACCAGTACATGCGCTCATTGGCGCCCCGAAAAAATACATACCCCACCTTTAATGTGCACGATGTCATCTCACTCATCTCACTGTCTGTCATAGCAAATCGGCACATGCTGTTGTGAATAATTAAGCGAAGCGTCTTCTCATAGTTCTCATAGGTGCAGTCTCATGAATAATTTAATAGACACCGACGCGTCATCAATGTACTATAGTCCTTTGCCACGTCACAAATTGTGACGTCAACACGATGTAGATTTTAAACCCGGAAGATGAAAATGGCGCAAAAAAGCTTAAAATTAACCAGTTTTCTTCAAGAGTTAAAATCATCGGATGCTAACTTTGTCATCTATGATGTGCAACACAAAAACCTCTGCTAAAATCTCAGAAAAAAGTAGTCTGGGGTTTCATGACCCTTTAAGTAAATTCACGTTCACATGAAAATTGTGCAAGCTTTTCACAATATTAGATTGAAAGTTTCCCCTCAGAGAAATCAGCAAAGTAGTAGAAAGTGGACAGAAGAGACTGATTAAAACAGCAAGTGTAAAGGGGAATGTGTCTCCCTCGTCGTCTTGTGATGCGATCGACCAAAACGCATCTTAATATCAGGTTTAAACAGGGCCTTAAACTGCCTCTGGAAGTCGTCAAAACTGGACAAGTTCAAAACCTTTCCCGTTTACACATGTATTTAGCATTGTCCACTTGTGATCAGATCTACCAAAACACATCTTAGAGAATTAGTTCAATTCCAGAATAAAAATTCCCTGATAATTTACTCACCCCCATGTCATCCAAGATGTTCATGTCTCTTTGGTTCAAAAGAAATTAAGGTTTTTGAGGACACCATTCCAGGATTTTTCTCCATATAATGGACTTCAATGGGTATATAAAAGTAATATATTAAAAAGTAGGCTATGCTTTTTTTCCCACAGAAAATGACAGATCGTTTTGCTAGAAAAGAGCTGTATTCTTCAGCTGGGTTCATGTAGTCCTTTGAAGCAGCACTGAAACTGCAATTTGGAACTTCAACCCGTTGCCTCCCATTGGAGTCCATTATATGAAGAGAAATACTGGAATGTTGTACCTCAAAAGCCTTAATTTCTTTTCAACCGAAGAAAGACATCTTGGATGACATGGGGGTGCGTAAATTATCAGGAAATTTTTATTCTGCAGGTGAACTAATCCTTTAATACCAGGTGTAAACGGGGTCTTAAATCAGAGCAGAAAGTCCTACATATATTCATTTCATTAAATGTTACGTGCATAGCAAAAAACTAATAAATAAAATAATAATGATATCTTCCTCAGTATTTTTTGTTTTGCTAAAATGAATATCTAAACATCCTCAAATTAAGATCTATTTACTTAAAGCAAATGTAAAATGTCTTGAACAAAACTTAGTGAGCTTATGCTTAAAACAATACCACATGTCAGTCAGTGAGGTACAAAAGCTTTTCCCCTTGAAATAGGTTTATTTTTCTGAGCCACTGGCAGATATTTGTTCTTGCTTTAATCAAATTTACATTCATCAAACCTGCAGAAACCTTGGTATAGTATACTTAATAAAAATATTGTCAAGAAACATAACAAATTTTAGAGTTAAGCAACGCTCAATTAATGTTTCCCGACACTGCTTATAGCATTTTTTTTTTATATGCCAGCATAGGTAACAATCATTTCAGAACTGAGGTACTACTCTGTGACTACCTCTAATGCTGCCTGTGGTCATGTACAATTATGTAATAGCCTCTTTCTCTTTGGGTTAGTTTCTAATCATATTATACATTGCACACACACACTGCATCAAATGCTGCAGTCAAATTGAATTTTTTTTTGACTGAATGCTTATCCTAGCAAACTCGATTTCATGCTCTGCTGGACAACAGGAGCATATATCTTAAGCATAGCTGATGGCACACCATAAAACAGGCACTTGGATAATATTCCTTATCTGGTTTTATCTGGACTGTACTGGTTTTGTGATGTTACCGTCTACTGTACTCTATTGGACTGTAGAGCTGTATAAATGCCCTGCATCACTGATTCCTCACAAATAGCCTACACACCCAAAAATAAAGGTAGCATCGTCAGAATGACAGTACTGTAGCCCAATGATGTTGGGGGATCCAATGGGGGCGGCAATCATATTTCATGGTGGCCGTGCCACTCATCACAACCCTGCTAAAATGTAGCACCAGTACATGCGCTCATTGGCGCCCCCTCCTGCTGGTGGCGCCCTAGGCGACCGCCTAGCTTGCCTATGCCTAGAAACGGTACTGCGTTTTTGAAAAAATACATACCCCACCTTTAATGTGCACGATGTCATCTCACTGTCTGAAGCGTCTGTCATAGCAAATCGGCACATGCTGTTGTGAATAATTAAGCGAAGCGTCTTCTCATAGGATAAGAACGTGCAGTCTCATGAATAATTTAATAGACACCGATGCGTCATCCATGTACTATAGTCCTTTGCCACGTCACAAATTGTGACGTCAACACGATGTAGATTTTAAACCCGGAAGATGAAAATGGCGCAAAAAAGCTTAAAATTAACCAGTTTTCTTCAAGAGTTAAAATCATCGGATGCTAACTTTGTCATCTATGATGTGCAACACAAAAACCTCTGCTAAAATCTCAGAAAAAAGTAGTCTGGGGTTTCATAACCCTTTAATGGCATGTGGGAAAACGGTTGTTGAGTGCAGAAAAAACCTCTTGTTTTCTGATTGGCTCAGCCGACCACACCACCAGAATTGACCAATCAGAGTGTAAGCAGCGTGCATGAGATAAGAGAGAGGCAGTTTAAAACGGTTGTTTGTTTATGCTGTGTAAGATCGTTTCAGTTTTGAGTGTACTGTTCATATGAGGAACAGACCACCTTGACCACAATGAGAATATTAAATAAATGTAAATGTTTTTAAATATTTTTTAGAATAAAAATATATTTAATTAAAATATTAGGAATTAAAAAATGAATGTACAAATATATAAAAATGTAGGCTAATGCAATATCTGGCAGCCACATACATTGGAAAATATGGATGAGAATGATAGAAGACTGTTAATGAGACATTGCATGTTTTTTTTAGGATGTGATGCATCATTGTGTATTTTGATTCAGGTCTGATACATTTGGACAATTTGTTTCAAAAATAAATTTCATTCAGATAAATTGGTCATATTTTGACCATGTTGTCCCTTCTCAATAGTCTGTATGCCCATTCAGTCAGTTCAGAAACAAAAAATTGTAGGGCTGGGAGATATGGCCAAAAAAATGATCATGATAACATTTTTTAAATCAGTCGATATCGATAATTATCACGATAGATTTCAAATCTTTATTTCTTTCAAGTTTAAAGGCAGATTTTTGCTCCTAAGTGAAAGCTATAAACCAGACCGTTAATTGTGGTTTTAAACTACTCTTTATGGTCAGAACATAACAAACACTTAACGTTTTTAAATTCTTTACACTTTTCCAGTCATTTTTCCTTAACAAAATAAATATCTTAATAGAAACATTTATTTATTCGTTTCTGCATGCTCTGAGTGATTTTGTTTCAAATCATGAAACAGGTTTTTGTTGCCTGACTTTGATTACGCAGGCTGCAATATTAATAATTGGTCTTCCATAGTAGGATAAATTTAGGTCATGATAACCACAGTTAAAACCACACATAAAATATAACTACATGGTTTCTAGGTTATTGTATGAAAAACAAACGCATGCGTGTGGCGCTGCAGAGCCGGCATTTTGATGTAGAACCCGGATGTGCTGCATCTTGTTTACAAGCAGAGGAATGCACATGCATACATCATGGTACTCTCATGAACGTGTGTTGAAAACTGACACGGAAGAGAAGAAATTGTTGAATGAAGCCGTTATTTTTGTTTTTTTTTGCACACAAAAACTATTGTTGTAGCTTCATAAAAATTAAGGTTCAACCATTTTAACGATGTCCATACTATCTTTATGGACCTTGAACGTGGTAGTTGCGTTGCGGCCTATGCGGGGTCAGAAAGCTCTTGGTTTTCATCAAAAATAACTTAATTTGTATTCCGAAGACGAACGGTCTTAAGGGTTTGGAGCGACATGAGGGTGAGTAATTAATGACCGAATTTAAATTTTTGGGTGAACTGTCCCTTTAAAGGAATTTGCTTCTTATAGTCATTTGTTTGTAACTCATACTACACCGATTGTGCTGTATTTATGAAACCCATTACATTTGCAAAAATATGTTTATACAATGGAACACACGGCATGAAAAATTACTGCATCCCAAAATGCAGTGTGGCCAACACAAATTCTGTAGTTTCATAGAGAAGAAAGATCAGCTTATTGTAAGAGGTTTTTCTCTCCCGCTGTATACACTGCTGTCATTGTCAGTCTGAACCATTGATTTCGAAGCGTCTCTTATTGGTCACTGTTTTCTTAGTAGACTATCTGATCGGATTAGTGCCCAGAATTTTGGAATGAGGTGGTGTGATTTAGAAATCCTTTTCACGGCCTGCCAAACTCTAGCTGGCTCGGTTAGTTAAACATCTAATGAAACCCCGCGCAGCAGAGGCTCTCGTTCAGAGCCACAGGGGAAAGATCAGTGAACCTCACAGAGATGAGATTCGCACTCATTACCTCACTTAACCTCATACAGATGAGTTAATACACATGTACACGCACCATTGTGACAATATTAACCCTCAAACATCAAATGAGCAGAGATGCTGTGTGGGGTTTTTACATCAGTTCTTAACCAATCGGTTCTTTCTCGGTTATTCCCCTAAAGCTCAACATCTGTAACACGCCTTAGTACAATTAGATGAAGATGCATAGATGCAAACTCCTCACCTTTCGGTGAAAATTCAACTTTTTGAGATCAAAATAGGTCACCAACAAGATTCAGGTAGATCCGATGAGTAGTATCAACTCAATTCTGTACCCGCTCGAAGTCACAGTTAATAGATTAGGTGTAATCTATTAACTACACATAAAATAATTTTTTTTAATTAAGTAGGCCTACCAGATATGGGTGTCATGCCATAAAATATTTTTAATACGATTGACTTTGTATTTAGCATGAATTTAATAAAAACATTATAAGTTAGCCTACTAATTATAATACTTTCATTGTACCGAAAGAGAGCAAAGAACATTTACATTATCATTCAGGTCTAGCCAGAGTTCAAACACTCTCAAAAACTCCGATTATAATCACTGAAGCTGTTTACACTGTGAAATGCATATCTTACTTACATTCGTATGCACATCTGCACTTGTTGTTTCTGAGCAGAATTCAGTCAGCAACGCGCGCAGTGAACAAAACTCCGGTGTTTCAGCAATGACTCATCTGAAAGCCTCTGATTGGCCATTGCATTCATAAGCTAAACAGAATCATGTGTGATTGGTTATAATGCGCAGCGCTGTAAAACGCGTATGTCTCCGGCCAGCCAGCGAACGCAGATTTGAATTTAGCAGCTAGTGATGTGCCGCGCACATCACACCTGTGTGTTTGTATCAAATATAAAAAAATATTATAAGGCTATTTTTCTCTTTTGGAAGCTGCATTCAAAATCCACTTTGCTCAGAATTTTGAGAGGGCACGTGCCCCCTCGGTTTGAATGGACATGACGCCTCTAAGTTATGCTATAATGGAAGTGCCCTTTGCTCGGTTTTTACTTCATTTACAGTTTGAAGAAAAGTGTAAGAGGACCAAACCGTCCACGTATACTGTTTCAGGAATGACAAACGCGAGTGAATCTGCTAAATTGATCCGCGATTGACTGTGATAACTGTAGCAATGGACGGAACGAACTATCTGACATGCCTCAAAACAGAGCTGTGCTTTAAGTGATGCAGAGTAACAAAACTACAGCAGCAACAAGTGTTGCCTTTAGCAGCTTCTACAGGTAAAGATAACGTAAAGCTCTTTTTTTATGTGTCCTTTTTTTAGGCAATGTTTGAAAAAAGTAGTTTTTAAATTTAAATCTAAAAAAAATGCCAAAATATTTTATGCATTTAATTATTATACCATTAATAATTAACTTAATTTGTAGTTAACTAGTTAAGTATTTAAATAATTAACCCTACTAGGCTGTTGGAGTGGGTGCTCGTCTTTGTCACCTTTTTCACCCATGATGAGTTTGCATCCCTGATGATGACTGCTTTCTCTCCGCAGGATTCTGATGTCCACCACACCAGCTGTGTTGTGTTATTCCCTGATATGGGTGGTTCCGCCTATAGAGGAGGGAAAGATGATGTGGTATCTGCTCTTCTACTGTCTCTTCCAAACTCTCCAGACAGTTAGTACACATTCTTGTAGTTTTTGAGGAATTAAATGTAACATTATATTCTGTGATGTTATATATTTATATACGTCAACTGTCAATATATGTAAACTACTTGTCAAACATTTGGACACTATAGAAAAGGGCTAATCGAAACATTTATGCTTAAATGCTTAAAATTAGGTATGAATGTCTTTTCAACTAATATTTTAATACTAAAACTATTTTAACTACGCGAAAGTATTTTTAGTACAATAATATACTTTTTTTTTTTTTTTTGAAAAATGGATGAGTAGGACAGCATACATAGGATGCACCTGGCATACAAGTTTTGTTTAAATCACATATTCATACTTCCATTTGTGTTGTTTTGTAGTTTTATTGTATAGTAAAGAATGAGAAGGTGTGTCCAAACTTTTGACTGGTAGTGCATAATAATTGCATTAATTCATTTGCATATTCATGCCGTTCTGTTGTGAGCCAGCAATGAGTAACTCTGTGTGTTTGTGTGTGCAGTGCTTTCATGTGCCATACTCTGCTCTGACCATGTTCATCAGCACTGAGCAGAAGGAACGAGATTCAGCCACAGCATACCGTAAGAGCATTTACACACATTTTAATGCCTTGCTGTTGCAATCGGCTACATAATACATGCAACAAACGCATTATAACTGTGAAATCAAGAAACATTTCTTACTATTATCAATGTTGAAAAAAGTTGTGCTGCTTAATTTTTTTGTGGAAACCATTAAACATTATTTTCAGGATTCTGTGATGCACCGAAAGTTCAAAAGAACAGCATTTTTTTAAATACAATTTTTCTGTAACAATTTAAAGGTCTTTACTGTCACTATTGATCAATTTAATACATTCTTGCTGAATAAAAGTTCTAATTTCTTTAAAAAAAAAACACTTGAATAATAGTGTATTATGTATGACACCTGTTCTTCCCAGCATAAACAATTTGACTGTTTTAGTGATGTCTTTTCTGTTCTCTCTCTCTTTCAGGTATGACTGTAGAGGTGTTGGGTACAGTAATTGGCACTGCCGTTCAGGGGCAGATTGTAGGCATGGCCAACACACCTTGCATTAACAGCACATCCCCGACCAACGGCTCCAATCACTCTATGCATGGCAATAACTCTCTGATCTTACTGGACAACAAAGTATTTAACGAGGTGAGAGGGGCCGTGGTCGTTATAAAGCAGAAGACATTTCATATCTCATCAACCTCTAGCACCTGAATTATCATCTCTCTCTCTCTCTCTCTCTCTCTCTCTCTCTCTTTTACAGAGGCATGCGTATATGATTGCATCTGCAGTCATAAGTTTGATCTATGTTTTGTGTGCTGTTGTGCTGTTTTTCGGAGTGAGAGAGCAGGACAGTGAGTTACTTCTCTTCACATACTGTACACATTCACATTATTCACGTTCAATACAAAATATGGAATACAAAAACATCAAAATAAGCTAAGATAGACCATGAGTTACAGTGATTTTAAGTAACAGTGATATAATGGTAATACTTTTATTACATTAGCTAATGCATTAAGTTTCATGAACTAACAATGATCAGTACTTTTACATTGCTTATTAATATTTGTTAATGTTACTTTCTAAATATACTAACACATTTTAACATTTCAAGTTGTTTAAAATAACATTAGTTGAAGTATTATAAATAGAATAGAATACAATAGTTTTATTGTCATTGTTTTTGAAACAATGAAAGACTATTCAGCAGCTCACAAGGTTTGGCATAATAAAAAAAGTACAGATACAAATAGAAATATTAAACAAGAAGAGAGGTAATCCAGAAGGAAATATACACAATGATAGTGCAAAATATCGTACTATAAAATATATACAATTATTTGTGCCAGACAGAGTACATTGTGCAAATATACTATGTAGTGCTGAAAAAAAAAAGTGTATACTAAATATTAAGGATAGCTATATACGTATATATACAGTGTGTGTGTATATATATATATATATGCGCGCGCACACACACACATGAACATGTATTGATGGATCCAACAATAGTACAATAGTATATTTATAAATTAACACCAAACCTAGATTAATAAATGCTATGTATTCAGTGTTAGTTGATGAGACCAAATGCATTAATTAATCCTAACGAATTGAACCTTATTGTAAAGTATACCTATGTAATACCTATGCAGGTAAACAAATAAAATATTTCATATTTGTGTTATGTTTTATTTTTGATTGTTTTAATTTTCTGATTGATTGTTTTTTATTTTTAAATATGAATAATTTTACTTTTTTTATATTCAATTTTTAGTTTTATAAATTAAATGTGTTTTATAATTTAAATATTACCCTTTCAGTAACTCATGAACTCCCTGCAGTTCTTTCATGAAGCCCTAGGGGTTCGCGAACCCAGGTTTGGGAAACCCTGGTTTAATTGTAGGCTGTTTACATTTCACCATGAAACTTGGTGTATTAACACTGAATGTGTATTTTGATGCATTTAATGTTTTTCCTCTGTCTTTTTCAGATCAGAGTGGTTTAGAAGAACAGAAGCATGTGTCATTTCAGACAGGTTTGCGGCTGGTGATAGGTCATGGGCCGTATGTGAAACTGTTGCTGGCCACCCTCTTCACTTCTCTGGCCTTCATGGTAAGAAGAACACTTTAGAATGCATCTAAAACATGTCAGTGCCTTTTGAAAGGCACACTTATACTTATTTTAATTCCTGTTTTATGATGAAAGATATCTCGTTCCACATCATTTACAAACGATGCAAAATTTGTGTTTTAACTAGACAGTTTCTCAGGCGACAAACATCTGTGATATGTATGAGAGAAAGCAGTTTCTGGAACTGACCATAGCACAGCTCTGCATTACAGAGATGAGCTATGTGTGTTAAAACAAAGAGAGCCACAGAGAGAGAGAGGCTGCCATGCAAGAGATTAGGTTTAGAATCATAGTCGGCATTAGGACAGGTTTGCGATCAAAAGTGAAGTTCAGAATTGTTTTGAGACTGAAGTTGGGTTTGAAATGAAGACACTCTATGGACAATAATCATCAGTCACTTGATGGAATCTCATTTAATTTGTCTGTTTTCCTTTCTCAGCTGCTGGAGGGAAATTTTGCTCTGTTCATCAAGTATACACTGGGATTCAGAGAGGATTTTCAGAACATCTTACTGGTCATCATGGTGAGAGTGTTTTCAACCGACTGCTTGAATAAGTGTTTTTGTGCGTTTCTGAATTGTTTGGTTTGGTGTTATAACAGCACTCAGCGGTTTGGAGAGGTTCGCAGTCTCCATAGTGATGAAAGACATGCATTTCTGGTTTAGAAGCAGCATGACTTTGAGTTGACAGATGAAAAGACTGTTTATAACTTCAGCAGTGTGTGACTATTATCTTGGTGTTGCATAATATGGTAATGAGGTTTTGTAGTGGTCAGACATAAATACATGTTTGTGTGATTTGTCTTCCCAGCTGTCTGCCACTCTTACTATTCCCATGTGGCAGTGGTTCCTCTGCCGGTTTGGGAAAAAGACTGCTGTATACATTGGCATAACAGTGAGTTTCTGATGCTTGTTACATTAGTGAGAGATGTGTGTTGGCAGTCATGATTAATCTTCTGTGTGTGTTTGTGTTTTAGTGGGCGGTGCCCTTCATGATCCTGGTGGTGTGTGTAAACAGTAGTCTCTTCGTGTCCTACATTGTATCAGTCGCAGCTGGTGCCAGTGTGGCAGCGGCCTTCCTCCTGCCCTGGTGAGTGTTTTTCTGTTCTGTATAGTCCAAGAGAAAGAAGATGGAGCTGTATTTCAGGATGTTAAAAGCTGATATTAAAAGGAAGCATCTATAACAAAAGGCTATAGAAATACGATTTCCCAAAAATATATATTTACATTTATACATTCAGCAGGACACTTGTACAACAATGTGACTTCATTTGCTAGTTTGTTATACATGGGAACCTAACTCATGATGCTAGTGCTCATGTTGCTAATCCCATTCACTAAAATGAACATAAATCATTGATACAACTAATAATGACCTTTTCTTATTTTGCTGGAGATTATTCACATTTTTTGTGCAATGTTCAAAAATTAGTAAGGAAAATGTAATTAAATATTCTGAATGTGGTAATATATCAAGACATTTGGATTGTAATATGTTAAAAAATAAATAACTTTATTAAAAACCAAAAGACCCTTCATTAAAACAAACAAATTAAGATATTTTATATATATAGTACCATTGAAAAATTAATAGTTTTATTCAGCAAGGATGTATTAAATTGATCAAAAGTGATAATACACGCATTTATAATGTTACAAAAGATTTCTATTTCAAATAAAAGCTGTTCTTTTGAATTTTCTATTCATTAAGAATCCTGAAAATCTGTATCATGGTTTCCACAAAAATATTAAGCAGTTGTTTTCAACATAGGGCTGGGCGGTATATTGAGTTTGTACGGTATATCGATATATTCTTTATATGTGATACGGTATGACGCAATACCGTTTATATCGATATACAGTAGTTTGATACGAGCGCAATCAGCGCATCCGAGGAAATATAGTGGAGGACACAGACTCAGCCGCTGCGGAGAAAGTGCATAATCCAATTTGTTCTAAACATGTGACAAGCTGTATATTAAGGGCTTTAAAATAACTTAAGCTATAGTATGGTTTATAGTTTCGTATACTTTAAAGTGGCTTGCCCCGTCAGATGCTCTGACAGAAAGGCTGTGTGTGAGGCTGACAGAGGCTCTACTTGAGCTGTTTAATGTGTTTGAGATGTGCTGTTTTCCTTAATGCATAACTTACATTTTACAGGTATATTCTCCATCTGTAAATGTTAGAAAGTCATGGAAATATTTCCATTTTGCTGTCAGGAGTGCATGATCCTTCTTCGCTAATCTCCGCTAAACTTCAGTACTTCACAGACTTCAGTGAACGAGCGCCACCTGCATTCAGAGTTGTTTACACTGTTAAAGAGTTGAATTCTCATGCTAAGCATGGACAACGTTTCAAAAAACAATTTGGACATATGACGGAGTATTTCTGTGCCAAAAATCTTACTTCCGGGTTCGTACAAGTTTCGGAGAGTTTTTTTCAATTGTGGCTCTTCATGACGTAGACGAGGGTGGAACTCCTTATATGGGCAGCAACGGAGTGTCAGTTTTTGTGTTTGTTGACGAACGTTTTATAAACAAGGCCCAGTTCGACGCTGGATTTGCACATCGTTTGATACTGAAAGATGGAGCGGTCCCAGCTATAAAAGATCCCGGTCATGATTCAGAACTGCATCTGTTTTTTTGGCATTCTGCGCCCAAGTGCTCGTCACTCTTTAGCTCCACCCACGGCGTGCCTCCAGGAGCTCTGCTTTTTCTGGAGAGAATCGTAAAGCTGTATCTTTCTTTTATAAATATGATCAAACTAAAGCCTTTTGGAGATATGAAGGATGCAGTACTACTCTATAGGTACTCAAGATTAACATGAGATTGGGTGAAACTGTGTGTGTTATGCCCCCTTTAACTTCTGCTTTAAAAGCATTATTTTTGTTTTTAGATTGTAATGTTACAATGTTAGAATGAAATATGATTTTGACCCTTTTTACACATAATATATAGGCTTACATTGTTACATTCACTTTATTCGTTTTCATAGCCTTTAATATGTATTGTTTCATTGGACAACATTGGACGGTATGTAAAATATATATATTAAATACAGATTAAATTTTTTTTTTACAAAAACGAAAATACCGAGATATATACCATATATCTCAAAACGGCCAAAAAATACTGAGATATGAATTTTTGCCCATATCACCCAGCCCTATTTCAACATTGATGATAAGAAATCATAATAATAAACTAAAATCTTAATAATTAAAGTCAGCATTTTAGAATGATCATGTGACACTGAAGACTGGAGTCAGGAATAAACTACATTTGAAAATATTAAAGTAGAAAAAACTTATTTTAAATTACAATAATATTTCACAATATTACTATTTTTACTGTATCTAATTTTGATCAAGGAAATGCAGCCTTGGTAAGCATAAGAGACTTCTTTTAAAAACATTCAAAAATCTTACTGACCCCAAACGTTTGAATGGTAGTTATATTTACTTTTCTCATAATATATTTTCCTGCCTTTGACATGCAAGAAAATGCTCATTGCATTTTTTCCCCATGTGCTCCTCTCTGTCACAGGAGTAAATGATATGAGACGGTAAGTGAAACGGCATCAAATGTCTGTTTTGTTGGCATTCGGCGCCCAAGTGCTCGTCACTCTTTAGCTCCACCCACGGCGTGCCTCCAGGAGCTCTGCTTTTTCTGGAGAGAATCGTAAAGCTGTATCTTTCTTTTATAAATATGATCAAACTAAAGCCTTTTGGAGATATGAAGGATGCAGTACTACTCTATAGGTACTCAAGATTAACATGAGATTGGGTGAAACTGTGTGTGTTATGCCCCCTTTAACTTCTGCTTTAAAAGCATTATTTTTGTTTTTAGATTGTAATGTTACAATGTTAGAATGAAATATGATTTTGACCCTTTTTACACATAATATATAGGCTTACATTGTTACATTCACTTTATTCGTTTTCATAGCCTTTAATATGTATTGTTTCATTGGACAACATTGGACGGTATGTAAAATATATATATTAAATACAGATTAAATTTTTTTTTTACAAAAACGAAAATACCGAGATATATACCATATATCTCAAAACGGCCAAAAAATACTGAGATATGAATTTTTGCCCATATCACCCAGCCCTATTTCAACATTGATGATAAGAAATCATAATAATAAACTAAAATCTTAATAATTAAAGTCAGCATTTTAGAATGATCATGTGACACTGAAGACTGGAGTCAGGAATAAACTACATTTGAAAATATTAAAGTAGAAAAAACTTATTTTAAATTACAATAATATTTCACAATATTACTATTTTTACTGTATCTAATTTTGATCAAGGAAATGCAGCCTTGGTAAGCATAAGAGACTTCTTTTAAAAACATTCAAAAATCTTACTGACCCCAAACGTTTGAATGGTAGTTATATTTACTTTTCTCATAATATATTTTCCTGCCTTTGACATGCAAGAAAATGCTCATTGCATTTTTTCCCCATGTGCTCCTCTCTGTCACAGGAGTAAATGATATGAATTCCTTGAATAAATAGCCATATTAACAAGTTGTTCATAATTTTCCTAGGTTCAACAGTTTGATATAAGTAACACATCTGATCCGATAAACCAATAGAATGAATGCAAGCATTAAATATCAAGGTCAAATAGATGCTTCTATTTCAGGTCCATGCTTCCAGATGTGGTAGATGATTTTAAAGTCCAGAATCCCACCTCTCATGGGCATGAAGCTATTTTCTACTCTTTCTATGTTTTTTTCACCAAATTCGCCTCTGGAGTGTCGCTTGGAGTATCAACACTAGCATTAAGGTAGCTCACTCTCTATCTTCCTCAGTGCATGTATATTAAAAAGCCCTTTTTTGGGTTTGTGAACAGATCATGATCTGTGATTTACATTCTGGCTTTTTACATTCATCAGCTCATATTTAGGTTCTTCTGATTTTTGTCCCTTTAGCTTTGCAGGTTATGTGACGGGAGTTTGTGTACAGTCTGATTCTGTGAATCTGACGTTGAAGATGTTGGTGTCGGCTGCTCCTGTATCACTTATAGCTCTGGGGCTGCTCATCTTTAAAATGTATCCCATCAATGAAGAACGCAGGCAGTACAACAACAAACAGCTGCAGCTGCTGCCGCGGTAGGACATACACTTATGATCTAGGGATGTTCATTTTAACTGGTTAACCGACCGTAAGAATTTTGACCGATTAATACAATCAGTTAAACGGTTTAAAAAGTCATTTAATTATTTATTTTTTCAGTAATTTATCAAAATATTTAAAAAGGTTTGCTGCATGGTTAAAATACGCTACGCGTATAAAAAAAAAGTGTTTTTAGGGGGAAAAAAACATAAGTCGCATTTTTTAAAATTTCATTCAGAAATGCCTAATGCCGACACGAAATGTTTACAAACATTATAATAAACACTGTAAACATAGCTAGGCTATTTTAGTTCCCCTCACTCCACAACAAATC